CCTTTCCTCCCCGCACGCCAGCCGGGGTTCGCCCACGGCCCCGCTGCTGAAGGAAATACAGGTGAACGTGAGCGCAGCCCTTCCAAGCACCGCTTCGAACGCAAAACCCCCGACGACAAGGAGGTGGCACTGCGCCGCCCGAAAGAGCCACCAAAAGAAAGAAGGCAGCAGGGTCTCAACGCGCCCCAGTGTGCCCAGGGCACCTGGTGCTAGGGTTTTAATACACAAATAAATACCGCGCGTGAATAATCACACTCTTACCTTGAAAAACGAACCCTCGAGAAAGAGTCAGTCATAACCTTTATTTGCTAACTTTGTTACAAAAGGTACTGGAGGCAGGTACACTCTGCATCTCAGGGCGGGAGCTTGGCAAGGATTACCCTTTTTGCAATACAGATTTTAAAAATAGGAATAATACTTCAGGAAAATACCCAAAAGACTGCCCAGTGACTTACAGCATTAGTTTCAAACCTGCATCAAGGGCCTGCTTTGCTGCTCGTGCCCTAACACTCTCATACGCAATTCTGCTTCTCAGTCTGCGAGAGGAAGAAAGGGAACAGCGCTCCTGGTCCAGGAGCAGGGCGGGACGGAGGAGCAGAACCGGCGGCCTCGAGGCTGGCCTAAGTAAGGAAAAGTGCTGGGCAAACGGGATGGAGCTGCGCATGCTCCCCAGGAGAGCTGCAGCGCACCAGCTCACCCCCACGGAGTAAGCAGCCTCCAGCCAAATACAGCGTTAGCCCCACGCTTACTACAGCGTGCAGGAAACGGAGCCTGCGCGACTCACGCCGCTTTGCAGGGCGCTCGTCTGAGTAGGATGCGCTCGCCTGCCGCTGCCCGGAGTCCGACTGCCGCAGGCCGCCCCGGTGGAAAAAAAAGGCTTCGGCGTGGCCCGGCGTCCCCCGCCCGGGGACGGAAAATGCATCAAAAGGGTTCAGCGGCTCCCGCTGCCTCCGTTCATCCTTCTCTCCTGGGCAGAGATACAGCCAGCATTCAGTACTGACCACACCAGTATGCTCTCCCCCAGTCCTGCAAGAGCATTGACTTGAGCACTGAAAATTCTGCCACGCTCCAGTCTGTGTCATCTGTGACACTACTGAGCATGGAACATTCCAGAAGTTACACCCAGCAGCACAACAGAACTGCAGAGATGAAAAATAGCAGTATTTCACCAGCACTTAGCTGAGACCTTATTTTCCAGGCCTGAGAAAAAGTTATCCAATATCCACTGCCAGGCAATGTAACTAAATTTTACTCTTTTTGAGCACAGGAGCTTCATTTACCATCATGATGTAATGAAGGACTCAGATCTGACCAGTGCTATGGGTAGAAATATGTAGCTGCCACGGAACCAGTGACTTGATATTTTTAGCATCTACAGTGCAGCTTCAGTCTGCTCCAGTAAAAACCTACAATCCACAATGCACCTTTGGTCTCTTCTATCCTTGGCAAAATTCTTAATAAAACTGTAACTAAAATGAACTTTGTAACCATTAGAAAAAGCCTTCATCCTTCTACCTCACACTCTCTATTCATCTCCATATCAAACCCCTCATTCACTTAAAAAAAAAAAAGGATGGGGTGTTTCCTGGGGAAGTGCCAGCCATGCTGAGCATCTCTGCAGGCAGGTCACATTCGTCCCCCAGCTGAGAACTCAAAGAGCAGCCATGCGGCCCAATACGTGTCGTTGGTTAACGGGTCACCAACTGGATCCTCCAGGACCTGAAAGACAGAGGAAGGAATGAAAGCTTCACCAGAAACGATCTTTAATGGTGCCGTTGATCGCAGTGGAAGAGCTGCTACATACAGTAGCACAAGACTGTGCAGTGAGAGGGAATGTCAGCAGTGAGGACTACTTTGTGCAAGAAGGGACAAAGTCCTTGTTCTCCAAGTTCAGGTGGAGTAATCCAACTGTACAGGATGTGGGTGTAAAAATGACAAACACAATCCATGCACAATTCAACTCTCAGTAATTCAGAGAGTCAATTCCCTTCCCTTTACCCACTGGCTCCTATAAAAGCAAGCAAATGACAGAGGGTAAGACCAGGATGAAATAATTAGGGAGTGATCACCTGAACAAGGAAGCTCTGGTCAAGGACAGAAAGAAATGTCTCCAGAATGAATTAACTTCTGTTTGTTTGCTTGCTTGTTTTGTTTTACTCTTCTCATTTTGCCTCTAATGGGATGCACGACCTATGAAAAGCAAACTGAAAGTCCCGTGTGGACAAAAGGAAGTGTGATTTCTGCACCCTTGTGGTTCAGACACAGGAACCAACCATCTGCGTATTCCTGCAGCAAGCCCAGGGCAAGCTGATTCAGCAAGAAACAGAGTGCCCAGGAAGTCTGTAGCATGCTGTAAAATCATTTACCCATTCAAGCTCTTCCTTTTCCTACAGCACACATTAAAACATGCAAAAAAATTGTTCTTCTGAATTCCTGAACTGCGTATTGTTACAAAGATTTGAAGATGTCCCCTTCTGACATCTGCAGGCGCCATATGGTACCTTGCTCCCCAGCCCCCATTGCACAGAGCGTCACGTTTCTGTACCACTGCAAAATCAGTGCAAGAATGCCAAACAGCAAGATGAAAACTCTAGCTAGAGACTGCATGCGCTGGAAATCTTAGAAAAGACTCATTCATTATTAATACCCAAAGCTTTCCTACTCATCTGGCTCACATTATGGCTGGTAAAAAGGCCACTTTCCAAGATACAGATCTTTATATTGATGTTTTCAAAGGCTCAGAAGAGGTTCTGTTACTGCCCTCAGAGCTGCAGCCGCTTCCCATAAAGAGGCCAGCGGTTACCATCTCCTGCTTTTCAAATTCTCACTTATAAAGGTTTTCTCCAGCAGCTTACATTGCAGGAGAAACAGAAATGGATGCTAACTGATTGGTAGACTAACACACGCGAAGCCAAAAAATAGCTCAAAGTAGTTTAGATAGGGCTTTGTTGGGTCCTATTTTTAAGTAACATTTAATTCACAGATGTGCTCCCATCCCCTTGAAAGCACCAGATTTCTAATGTCTATTCTCTGATGCCTTAAAATCACCGTAAGAAGGCATGCAGACTGCATCCAGATCATGGAAGTAACTTCTTTTATCGTTTCCTGTAATAACACTGCTCTGTAAACTGGTATCACCTGTCTCAGAGCAGTGCAAAATCCCCTCTCCTCAGTGATAACGCAGACTTGGAAATGAACATTACGTGAAAGACTTTAAGCAGCCATCTTGCTGGTGCCTTCCTTCCCCAGTGCTAGGCAAGCCCTCCATTGCTCAAAATATAAATGACACTTTGGATCTGCGCAGGTTGCTCTGGCCACCATTTCAATGACAAATCTAGTAAAATCAGGGTCTGATAAGCAAACCTAGTGGAAAAAAACAAAACCACCTCTCCTTCTAGCATCTGCAGGATGCTACCCAGGGAATGGCCAGCTTTCTCTGAACTAGATTCCCAAAGGTATGCTTAGATCAGACAGACATGTTTCATACTTAACATGATGTGAGTTTTCACATCTCCGCTATGAGAGCTACAGCTGGATGGTGTGTTTAGGACAAAGCTCCTTTCTCTGAACATTAGGTGTGTTCTGTTACCTGGCTTTGCCCCAAGGTTTGGCTTTCTTCCATGCAGGGTGCAGAAACAGGTGGGCACTGAGGCTTGCCAAAGACAGTCTGACACGAACTGAAAGAAAATATGATAAACAAATGCAATTGTACTTATGCTCTACTTACCACTTACTGTAATGTTTTGCAGCAGGACAAGAGGAGCTGCTGGCAAGACAATTCATTCAACAGAGCGCTGTTCAATTGCCTGCAAACCCGCCCCATTTCTCCAAATTCTTAGGGCCTGAAAATGCAGATTCTGCACTGGGAGGACTAGCATGACCAGGAGCAGTACACAAGAATGACATCTCGATTTGCCTCTTTCCGTATGCCCCCAGAACACTCTCCATTAACAAGGAGATGTCTACCAAAATGCCTCCTTCCTGGAACATATTTTAAAAACACAGATCTCAAGAGTCAAAACAGACAAACACGTGGCTTCAGACATAGCCACAACATTGGCTACAATTCTACCATAGCTTTTCAAGGCCACCAGTCGAGAGCCTGGGGACATGGCTTCCCTACCCACACCTCCCCTGAGGGCTCTGCCAACCTCTCGGAACAGGGCAGAGTCTGCAGGCACTGGGTCAAGTAGGACACAATGGGTACTTGATGATAGGACATTCTCTTCCTTCATCACCAGCTCAAAAGTTCTCTATCGTCCAGCAACACTGCCCGTACCACTCCCAGGAACAGCCCAGGGTATGAGCAGCCATACAGGCCCAGACCAAATGGTGCCAACTAACAGAGGACAGGAAAAAAGTAGAAGAAAGAGGGCAAGTGTCAAGCCATCCTTCCTTGGAATGTCTCCCAGATTCCAGCAATCAGTCTTGGGACTCCTCTGCTGGAGGCTGCATTCAGGCAATTACATTTACTAACGACAAATGGACTCAGCCCCCTGCCCCCCCCAGAATTTGTGTCTTCCTTTTTCATAGCCGACTTACAGTGACATGCACAATGCCCTTAGCAACAAATTCTGCTATTTAATTAGGCAACATGCCAAAAAGTAGCCTCCTTTTGTGCATTTTGAACTTGCTGCCTGCCAGCGTGGGGGTGCGGGGTTATTCGGAGGGAGCCTAGCAGCAGGAGGATTCCTAGCGCTCTGAGCTGGAATCCCAAAAATGCAGGCAGCAACGGTAAGCTGCAACGAACATCTCAGCACTGCTATTTTCCAAATCAATATGCTGGCTCATAAACGCAGTCTGTCTTGCTCCATAGAGTTGAGTGTGCTTTTCTGTTCGAAGTGGGAGGCACAGGAGAGTTATATTCTGCACGAACCATTAGCTGGGCTACATTCCACCTGTCCCAGCACAAGGAGTGAAGAGGATACACCACCACCGTCTGTAAAGGCGAGCATCTGTTTGGTGTCCCGCTGGGACTTCCAGATCGCTAGCTGGATCAAACCCTCCTGTCAGGCAGCAGGAGCAGACGGAGACAGTCAGCTTCCAGCCCGGCTCCCCCTCACACTCCCACCTCACAGCCCTGTAGATCATAAGAGGTTTGGACACAGCCCAAGTCCGTAGGATCAACTGTAAAAAGCCCATGCAAGAAATCTACAGGAACCGTTCTAATGAGCTTTCAGGCCAAGTCCTTTCTAGGTAAGCACCTTTAGAACGAGCCAAGCAGATTAAGGGCCCTTTGGGTGGCTTGTAGCTCCACCTCTGCACTTAGAAAGCAGGGAGCCACAGGTGTTGTCAAGGCAGTGAGAGCATAACACTACGTCCACTCCAGGTGGGTGGCCTTGGATATATCATTTCCTTCTCTGTGGTTTACTCTTATCTGTAAAGCAGGGGTAACTTCCAGGACAGGAACACTCATTTGCCTTACAGTTTAAGCTGTTGACTCCTCCATGAGTCCTCACATTAGTGATGCTCATTGCAACTTTCTTGCTAAAGATGACTCTGGTGACCCAATACTTCTCTCCAACCCAGGAACGCTGCTAGAGGGCTCTGCCTGATAGTAAAGGTGATCCTCATTCATTGCCATTCACTGAGCAGTGATCTTACCCAAGACTACCCACGTGAGGTCTCCTGGCTCTCTAGAGAGAAATTGCAAAAGGGACAAGATGCAATTGCAGCCTAAGCATCATTCATTTCTAAAGAGATTGACATTCCACAGCATTCATGGGATTTTGGGGAGTTCAAGGTTTTGGGGGGAGCTGGACCAGGCCACTGAACAGGCTTTACGAATAGAGTTCACATAACTATATCCTCACCAGCGAGTGTCAACGAAGCAGCAAGTCCTGCCCCTGCCAGGAATACGATAAAGGGTGTGTGGATTCCTGGCACAACTGACATACCCAGCAAGGAGACATTCACCATAGATTTCTTCTACTGGTGGAACACACTTTAAAAATAAACATGAGCTCACTCTAGAGTCAGAACATGCAATTTTAAATCCAGCCAAAATATCGCCAGCAAGCCTCACTGATCTTTCACGATCTTTAGCCCCTGTTGAAAACTACAAATCCTGAAACACAGACTGAGGTGGGTTTACAATGCCCAGAGCTGAGTTCTCCCCAGCAATTCAGAGCGAGGAGTCTGACATCAGTGTGAACAACTGTAGGCACCAACCCAACTGGGAAACAGCGGTAAAAGGCAGAAATGTTTTCAGCAAGGAAACGGGAGGCAAAAAACCATCGATCTCTATCTCCAGTGAATCACTGCCTTCCCTTGTCGCTTGACAAGCTGCAAAGCCTCTCCATGTCTCTGCTTCCTCATCTATCAAGTGGGAATAAAGCTGCTTCTACCCACCTCTGACATATATTGACAGTGTCAAGCAGAAGGGTTATGAAATGGGGCTACTGCTCCTGCTCTGTCTTGCAGATCAGTAAATGAGAGGAACCTCATAATGTCTGTTTGGCAGTGTTTATTTTTATGTGACATTATGGAAGTTGTGTAACATATGGAAGATGGCACAGATTTTTGTTGTTTTGCATTCTGTGAATTTATCTCGTCCCAGAGAAAAGCTGCAGTCTGAAACATGTTACAGGTGGAAAACAGAAAGACAGAACAGTGCCTGTCTTTCTGTCTTCCAGTTTGGAAATTGCACTATGGAATAATCTTGTCATGAGGTTGTGAAGCTACAAAAACTATTTTAGGAAAAGTACGGGCCCTATCAACCCAGCCCACATAATCAACTCTCACCAGACCAGTATAGGTCATGATTTTCTGCCAAAAAGAAAAACAGACAAATAGCTAAACCTGCTTTAAAGAGAGGGGTTCAGATCTTTTCTGATGTGGCTGGTCCCAAATCTCCTTTGCACTACACTATGAAATACATATACACTTATACAGCATTTCCCATTTCCCATGCACAGATATCTGCAGATCTGCAAAACATGATGGACACAAGGAGAGAGTTGGCACCCCGGAACGAGATGCATCACCACATTTTTTCTGCAACCCTCTTCAACAGGGGGGTCAGGACAAGGCTAGGCCCACAGCATCATTGGTACTCCTGCCTCTAAGCAGCCCTGTGCTTTGCGCTCCCTTTACCTGTGGGGAAGAATAGACTCCAGGGTCCCTAGCTGTCCTTCTCTAAGGATGATGCTTTCAACGTCTAAATCTGACTGCTGAATGATTCTTCCTGAACTGGCCTCAATACAGCCACCTTGAGGGACTCTGCTCAAGGGAGCTCTGATACCTGCTGAAATAAATGCTCGTATTAAAGATGATTACAGACAATATGACCCCAACCTCTGACCCAGCTATTCCTCCCCTCTTTGCTCCACGTTCACCAGAGGCTGGGTGAATGGCAGTCATGGCACTTTCTGTTCTGTAGACCTACAGTAAAAGCAGGCGGACATCACCTATGTATCCTACCAAGGCTCTTCTGAAGTACGGGGAGAAGCAAAGAGATGGTGGGAACACTAAACACGATTGGACAGGAAGAAAACAGAGGAAGACAGAAAGAATAGCAGGAAGGAGAAAAGAAAGCGAGAGCTGTGTCACAGTTAAGAAGTTCCCAGACTCTGCTCAGGCAATCTCTTAAGAATGACAGGCATTTAAAAACCCAGAAGCTTGCAAGGTGAGCAGACAACACCTGAAGGGACTCTTCCAGTGGAAAAGCTAAAAGGAATCCACCTTGCTGGCAAAGTACGATCGTATGGAAGGAGTTACAGTTTAAGCAAAAGAGTAGGTAAGAACGCTTGAACACCTTAAATCAACAGGTTTTCTCACTGAGCTCACTGCGGGAGCAGAGCTCACAATAAGCCCCGCTCCCATTTGTCACGACATCGGAAGGCCACGTAAGAGAGCAAGAGCGTTTACAACAAAGGGAAGAGAAGCTTGAAAACTCTTCAGGTCAACGATCCGGGTGCAGCTTTACTAACCTTCTGCACTTGGGGTCCACATGGATCCAGAGACCCCTCTGGTGCTGGAAGGGGCCTGCCACATGGCCAGCTGTTGATCCGGGAAGGTCAGGGACCCGCAAGGGCACAGGAGAAAGTTACTCAGCTGGAGGCTGGCATCAGCACCGCTTGCTGCTTCACCAGGCTGCAGGACAGCAGAGTTAAAGCAGGTTCCTGGCTCCAGCATAGCCTCGGTGCAAAAAGCTACAGGTTGTTCAGCGCTGCGAGTGGTCAAAGCAGCCTTGCCGGCCCTCACTTCATACAGCTCACTGCTCTGCATAAAGCTGTAACGATGGAGAAAATAAATCAGCCAGACATATTGCTTTGCAAAGAGGGGGGAGCCCCCAGCTAAACCTTTGAATCTTGCCCTTGACAGCTAGGAGATTAACTGCTAGATGCTCTGACTGCCTGATGCTGGGCAGGGACCATTCCCATCTATGGAGCCACGACTCCTAAGTCCTGTCCCCTGGGAACCGACATGAAAGTCAGTTCCACGAACAAGTTTAAAGGTTTCTTCATCTCTGAACTATCACTGTAAAGACTTTTTCATACATCACCTGGATTCCAGCATCTTTAAATAAGTTCCTTCAGGAGGCTTATCCAGATCTGCAGCTGACTGCTCCCACCCTGGGTCACAGGGCATGAGGGTTATCTCCATTTGCTCAGAGCCGACGTCTACACAAGATCCATCTGAAAGGTGCAGGCCAGGAAGGTGAAGGAACACTAATAGTTGCTCCAAAAAGCAATGAAACAAGTCTAATTTGCCAAATGCAGCAAGACCCTCTTTTTCCCTGTAACTGAAATTTGGTCAAGATCCTGTGAAGGGGCATGGGAATACCGGGTTTTACTGGAGTACTGCCCTGATCCCAGAATCTGAGAGCTAAAACCTGCTGCCTCCCATGTATTTGCTTTCATTTGGTGCCCCTTCTGAGACAGGCATCTCTTTTCACCTGTCCTTGCACATGCCTTGTCACCGCTTGCTCCTTCTACGGAGCGACAGCCTCCAGCCAAATAACGAGGCACTCCACCAAAGCAGAGTCCTCCCATGCCCACTCGATCCATCAGCATATGGATACTGTTCTGGAGAAGGGATATCCTTCCCTTCTTGAGGGAATTTAAAACTGTTTTTCAGCTTTCTGGACCACATCCTAAGCCCATCAGGAAGAGACAAACCTGCAGATTGTGGAGGGTAGGATCCTTTATCCTGCTGCTCCTTTGTGGGGTAAGTCAAAGCCCTCTCAGGACACGAGTTGTTGAGCTTCTCGGTACGAGGGAGGCAGGATTTTTGACGTCGTCGATAATTTGCAAACCAGTTATAGACCTGAGTTGGCTGCAGGTTCACATCCCGAGCCAATTCCTCCTGCAAATCCAGGTGCAGGGAGGGATTGGGGAAAAAAAGAATAAACCATATCTAAAGGCTTTTCCTTTCAGCTCCAAAAGCAGCCCAGCAAAAGAGCTTTCAAACCCAGAGCCATTTATTCATTAGGTCTCCAATAAGTCTGTGTGGAGCCCATTCAGGAGACCGATTTATAAACTCAGAAGAGTTGCTGGAAAACACACCTTCCACTCTGCTCCCCTAGTCAATTTGTTTACCAAAGGAAACCATTTACTGCTATTTTATATCACTATATTTAAATGTAAAACCTCACCAAAGCATGCTCTTTCCACAGTGACAGATTCATATCACTAACATGACACTAATGGGATAAACACTAATGCATTTACCACATTAAATAGTTTTCACAAACTGGGAGCAGTATAAGCATCTGTATGATGTTCACAGACAAATTTCTGCTGTATTAAACTACTTGTCAAATAACAAGATCACATAAGCAAAGAATGTAGTGGGAAATTAATGTGTAAGTTATCATCGTATCCTGACCTTTTAGGACTTAATTATGCTCCCAATTCAGATTTTTTTTTTTTTAATAAAAATTTGGAAGTTGTTGCTGCTTTGTGAAAAGGGTGCGAAATAAACCAACTTCACATTGCAGAAATATTCACTAGGCAAACCCGTCTCACACGAGAAGGGTGTTGGAACCATTGAGCACCACCGAGGCAGACTTTAAAGCCTGAAGCTTTCACCTTGCAAGGCAGCAACCAAAAGTATTACTGAATTAACTCACATCACTTTCATCATAGATTTGTCCCTGTCCAAGTAAAGTGGATACATACATACACCAACACAGCCTACCATTTTTTCAAATTCTATGAATTTAATGTAATAAGTCAGTACAAAATATCTTCTGGTAAGCAAAGTAGAATTTTATATGTGCTATAACTCAGTCAAGTCAGAACTATTTATCACTATAATACAGCTCTCTGAGTGACAGCTGTTCGCTGCCTATGCTCAATCACTACAAAATTAGAACTGTTAGAAGCCCAGCGAGGAACTTACTTCCCCTCATCTTTTTTGTCCAAAGCAAGTGAAATTACTTAGCATGAACTGGACGATTTTTTTAAGGAAACCTTCAGGGAAAGATCAAATATGGGGAATCCCAGCCCCACTGGGGCTTCTGAAAAAAAAGGGTTTAGAATGAAACTGGTTTTAGACTCCTGATCACAGAGTTCTGCTTTTCTGTGACAAGGAGACTTGATTGGAAGAAGCAAATCCCTACCCGCTGCTCCTTGTTTGGATTTGTTGTCACCTCTGCAGCAAACCTGTGCAGTTGCTGGCGTACTTCACCTGAATAGTTTCGATTCTTTAACCCTTCAGGACAAAGGGAAATAGGTGGAGGATTCCTGTACACAGGAGAAAACAGGATTAAAAAGGACCCAAAGAGAGTCATTCACTTTCATGGGAATTTTCTCAGCTTGCCACAAGCAGA